AATACCCCACCTTTAAGAGTTTTAGGAGAAGGATATTATATTATTCAACACTTATGAAGATTTGATAAAAGCCTGTAGGGAGGTTCTTACCTGAAGAGAAGACCCACTTCATGTTGTCCTGTTTGGCCATGCTCAGCATTGGCAGCATGGTGCCCAGAATAGCATTGAGGAAGGGTACCATTCCATAAACTAGAGAACAAGGAAGAATACAGCATAAATGAGACCTTATTATCTCTCACTTCCTCCGTGCTAGGAGAAATTGTACCAATTGTTAACAGAAAAGCATGGAGGGAACTCCGTATCTCTGTACTGGTCATTGATTTACAGTTACTCTAGCTAATTTCTCTAAAAAGTCAACATAAATCTAATTCAGTTGACACAAAGAACTACAAGGACAGCTACTCAGAAGCAGCCACTGATACAAGTCATTTAATATTGAGCATTTAGAATGTTCATAAGGAGTCATGATTTTATATCTATTACAGTATAGTATAGTATATATTTATATGTTCCAATATTAAAGGCAAAGCCAGGCAAGTTTATTTATATAGCCCTGATTTAAAATAAGCAAGAGTTGCAGGGGATCTGCAGTTTGGAGCAAAATAACTGAACGCTGGTTTTACTTCACAGTAAATGCACATTTAGAATAAAGAAGACATGCATAAAAATGTGTAAAGCACGCAGAAGCAGTAGATGTCGTCTGGGACCAATGTTGTGTGCTCCTAAACAAATAAACTCTGGTGGTGTGCAAACATTTTGTCCAATAAAATCTGTTTTAAACAGGTTTAACAGGTTTTTGTCTTTCTCAACATCACTCAATAACTGATCGAACTTCCTTAAATAAATATATTCTTACCGTTGGAATCTGAAAGGTTGGCTAGTGTCTTGACCACGAAGAAGTGAGGAAGGAGCCCCGGCTGAAACTTGCTTAGTATCTCCTCCATGATGTCATTGATGTGCTTGTTGCCCACAGCGACCAAAATATTACTGGCTGCCTGCTGCCAATCAGGGATGACCTCCTGAGGGAAACAGAAAGGCAGAAAAAACATTAAGGAACATAGTTCATCATCTTCACTCTGGATTAAACAAAAAAAACAAGAAAACATTTAAATCTGACATTTTACCTTTGATCGTGTCATCTCATCTGAGGCCAGAGAGATGATACTCTTGATCCTGGGGCTACTGATCTCCTCTATCCTGCAGCCCACAATCAGCTCAATAGTCTGAAGAATCACAACTCTGTGGCTCACCACCAACTACAAAGAGGCGGAGGAGAAGAAAGGAGAGACAACAAGAGAAGGAATAAAATGAAATATCTATTTTAAAACAAAACTGAGAAGTAATAATGTCACAGCTAAGTTCAATGTATTCAACTGACTGCAACGTAGGCTAAATATAATACACAATACAGAATATTCAACAACATCTCAATGAAAAAGGACATTCTTTGTGCAGTGTCACTGATGTTTCCCTACATATTTCCCCAGTGTATCATCTGTAATCACAGTCATGGGCTGAGACTGTATGATAAGATCATACACACACACACACACACACACACAAGCTGATTCAGAGCTCTATTGGGACATTTATTAGGAGTTAATGTGTTATAAATACAAAATAAAGACCAGGAAATTAACTTTTTTTTTTCTATAGGCCCATGCAGGTAAAATCTAAGCAGCTTAGAGGAAGAACTGAGCAATATTTGTCATACAATATCTCAATTGTATTATAGTACAGCTTCTGGAAATTATGTTGACAAAACATGTTTAAAAAGAAAAATGTGGATGTATGTTTTTTGGAAACTCCAGTGGATTAAAGGTAGGGTAGGTAAGTTTGAGAAACCGGCTCGAGATCGCTAGAATTTGAAAATACACAACCGGAGAAAATCTGCCACTTCCTTACAGAGCCCCTCCTCCAACACACACGAACGCACACATGACCAATGAGGGCACGAGATAAGTTTGTGCACAGATGGAAGGCTGACGGGCAGGTAGGCCATCCAGTTATTTTAGCCGGGCCGGCTAAAATGATTGGTCGTACTTTTTACAGAACTACGGCTTCCACAGATGACATTTTTTTATGGATTTTTTGTCAAAGCACTTAAGATATTCATTGCTATCGGGATGTTAAGAGCATTCCATGGAATATAACAAAAAGTGTATCTCGAGCCGGTTTCTCAAACTTATCTACCCTACCTTTAAAGACTTGTAACATTAAGACTCGAGTTTAAGCTCAATTGGCAGAAAGCTATTTTGCATATTTGTACAATTCATATTTTAAGTAATTCTGAAATATTGCTGTTTTTGGACTGTTGGTGAAACAGTTTAATTATGTTCTACCATTCATAAGACCAATTAGTGATTGATATATCAAGATAATGAATCAAAAATCAATAGTGATTTATGCTGCTTGACTCTCATTAGTCAAACCTCAAGCGGAAAATCTGATTCTCTCTGTGACAGAAATGCGCCACAAATACACACAAGTTTACATGTTGCATGTGTGGGAAACCAAACCACATGCTCGAGGCCCTTTAGGTATGACCAGATTCCACAGATTAGCAGTAAATCTTGTTAAAAAAAACAGGGGGTTACATGACCAAAATTCAATCAAAACACAGAGATTTCCATCATAGAAGTTAATGGTGTTCAATGTTTTTTTGTTCACCCCCTGTAGCTTCTAATCTGTACACTGGGGTTACAGACTGCAGTCACAGCAAAAGAGCACTTTAACTGTTGAGAAGTTCCCAGATGGTGTTGACCCGACACTAATGGCAATACCAGAACTAAAGGAGAGTAAATGGTAGTAAAAGCATGCTCATATAGCAGTCATGCCGATCTGGCTCTTTTGGCAAGGGCTACAAGAGTGTGTACTGATAATTATTTCCACTGGTTACCACGGTATGGTTTCTTAGACACACACAGTAGAAGTAGTGGGATAGAGCTGTTTCCTGGGGATTTACCTTAGGGTGTTTCAGCAAGTAGTCCTGGCACATGGCTAACACTCTGTCTGGCTGCTGTTTTCCCAGGGTCAACATGGACTTCCTGACCTGCTCCTGGACCTCTGAGTCTTTATCAGTGGCCGCGTCTAAAAGAGCCAGGGTCACCTCTAGAGGGAAAAACAACAGCATGATGAGAAATATGAGTATGGAGATTAAAATGTAAAACACAAATGGCTAGAAAACAGTTTGAGACACCAGTGCCGCAAAACCTAGGGCAACCTGAGAAAAATATGCATGGTTCAGAACAATCAGAGCAAATTCACAACTGTAGATTAATAGAGGCGGAGATAATACAAATTGGGAAAAAAGAGAAGAGCTCACGTTCCACATCTGTGTCCTCCATGATGTACAGCCAGAGGGATGGCTTCCTGTAGCCGAGGATGTAGCTTCCCTCCTGGGATACAGATGGGCAGAGGCTGCCTGGAGCTAAGGAACATAATACGATATGTAGATACTAAGTAAATATATTAATTCATTTGACCTTTTCAGTGGTTTTGCAGACTGCCATGTTCTTATTTGTATTGAAAGGTTTTTACTGGACCCCTTGAAATGTTAATCTTCTCATGTTAGGAGCAAATTAAGCATGTTTAGTCATATATAGAATATATATATATATATATATATATATATATATATATATATATATATATATATATATATATATTTAACTATAATATCTGATTATTTTTTTTGCTACAACGTCATGGCACAGGTACTTTCTGACAAAACGTTTGGTTTTCTCTCATCGTCATGTGTGACACCAAAAAGCAGGTTGACTAATGACAGCAGACAACAAGAAGAAGATGGTTTAGAGCTGATAAATAATAGCTTCACTAAAGCACATGCTGAGACAACATGTGTGTCGTTAACCAACATCTATCGAAGTATATCTGGATGAACTGAATATGCTTTAACATCTCACTATCGATTCAGCTGTCTACGCTTTAGTTACCTGTCTACGCCGCCTCCTTAGCCACTAACACCACCTCCTACTAAACCAGTACGAAGTAGCTAATTAAAACAACATTATTAATACAAAGCTATATGAGGCTGACATTGAAAGAAAACGGCTCTCATTATTGTCCAAGTATATTCTTGACGTCATGTCTTTTGTAGCTTGTGTTATAATTGTTTATGCGTCTTTAACCTTATTGAGAGATGATGCTGCAGACTTGTTAGCATGCTAACCTAGCATCTGTTGCTACGGAAGACAGCGTCCTCACACCGCAGAATGAAGGAAAACAAGAGCTTTGTTAATTAGGATAACTTACCAAGTCTTAGTAAACGTCGGCTGAATAATTACCTCTGACGAGTGCTTCTTCTCTCGGTTTGAAACAATAGGTTTCCCTGTCAGTGTGGTCGCTGTGTGCCTGTCTGTCAGTGCAGGTGTAAACACGCCTGGTCATGTGCTTCAGGACAGCACGAGCGCATCAAGCAGGGGGCGTGGTCAGAGAGTCATAGAACTGAAGCACATAGAGCTGCTATTCAACCTACAAACCATGATCTAGTCAGCTTTAGTAGAGTGAGAGAGTGCCTTATGGAGACTGTTATGCATGGCTTCACTTCGTAATCAAGTTATTTTTCTCGTGGTGTGTGTTTCTCATGTCTCTGTGTATCAACAAGTACCTTTAAACCTGGTTTCATTCTGACACAAGCCAACAGTAGTGAATTCAGTTTTAGATTTAGTTTATCTAAAGAAAGTTACAAGTCGACACTAATGTAAAAAAAAATCCATTACAGGTTTAAAAATGTAAACAAGTTTAACTTACAGTACTAAACAGGAATGGCATTAAGAGAATCTTATTTTAAGTATAATTAGTAGGGTTATATTAGTTATTTTATTGTGTAATTGGAAAGGGTCTCCGGAAGTGGTTTTGGGCAACATTGTCTGTTCTTGTCATTTGTACTTGTAAACTGTAAAGTCAAACTAAGAATGCTAGTAAAATGAGAAAACAAACATTCATTTGGTGAGCACAGAAAGACATGAATCTTTTCTACAGTCCAGGTTTTTATTAATCACAAAGATGTAACAACACGTGTATCACAGCAATCAATACAATATTACAACAGGATCAAAACACTTTATTAGTGAATATAGTGAATATAACAAATGTGTTTTGTGTTTACGTTTGACATGCTGCCTATTATTACAGGTACTTTAAAATGGATATTTCCAAAATATTTAATTAATAAATGTATAGTACAAGTCCCTTCTAGTGGTAGTTGCCAACCATTTATACAAGTTCTTCCACACAAAAAATGCTTTGTAAATCTGGTTAAGTCAAATATGGCTTCAGTTTAAAGCCTCTCATGATAAATATCTCTCATTTACGGTTTAAAACAATACATATTAGTGCTTGATGATTACATAAAGGTAATATATGTTTAGTTCAAGCTGAAAATACTTATCAGTATCAGAAAAAACAGTGTTATTTAATCTAAAAGAACAAGATGTATAATTTATATCAGAAGAGCGGCCACGATGCATGTAAATAAAACAGTTAAGAAAATAAAGATATAAAAAGCATCATTAACATATAAAACCTATTTTCAATGCATTTGAGTAGAAATAAAATGAGACCATCTGTCTGTGTGCAATATTTAAAATGTTAAGGTAAACATTGATTGTGACTTTTAGAAAATGTTTCATTTTTTTCTAACACAAATCATTTTACCCTGTAAAACACAGACATCACGATTACCCTGTAAATAAACTTTTCCTTTTTCCTAATATAATTCAGAGTACACAGAACAACAACAACAACAACAACAACAACAACATCTACAAAGGGCACCTCCTGCATGAAGTCTGTGTCAGTTTTTGTTTTAACTTTAAGCTGGGAGATAGTTAACCAGCTGTCGTCTCACTTTAACAGCACAGATGTGTGAAACCGCCAAGTGTTAACAAACCTCAACAATCAGGATTTCCCCCTCCAGTCTGTCAGTGAAGACTGACCTTTCTCATAGCAGCTGTATCAAATGTGACCCAGCTAATACAACTGAGTGATTGTTTTTTATTGATCTTCTTTTTTGGTCTATAAATTATTCACACTTTTATTTATTTCATTTATTTTTTCTTCCGATTTCTGGCCTCATGCATCGGCAGTGTCTGATCCTGGCGGTTTTTTCCTGTGAAAAAGAAATAATTCACAAATTAGATATTTGCATAAAACATGCAAGTGTAAAGAACATCAATTATTTGCTTTACTTCTACGTCTAATTAAGCAGCAATTGCCAGAGTTTAATTGTTTTCTTCAAGTCAAATACTGTTGTTGCCAGAGTAAAATTGTCTCACATGCACATGAAGCAGATTTTAGTGATGATATTTTATTAATAACTAAATACAGTTTTTATTTCAAAAGCTTTAATAACTTATTATTTTCAACTGCTTTTTTAAATTATGAATTCCAGCCATCAGCTCTGCATATTGGGGACGGGCGCAGGCACTGACTTTGGAAAACATTCATGGCAGCGTGTTTGCTATATAGGGGAGTGAATGAACATACTCATGTTTGGTAAGGGAGGCTTTGTCGCAGGTGATCTCTGGCAGCGCCCCCCCCTCCTTAGGGAATAGCTGCACCCCCGCATTTTGCACACTGCCTCTCGGAGTGGATAAGCCATTCAGCTTCACTTCTCTGCAGCCACACAAAGATTTCATATGTAATAACTTGATGACGGACAACCACACAAAGTGCTATTATGTGAACATGATAACAGATAAATGAATATACCAAGACAAACTCACCCATTAGTGGTTCCCTCTCCTTCTTCAAGCATTTTGAGGCCTGGGACCTTCTGTCCAAACAGTTTCGTAGAGATGGACATAAGCAGGCCGCAACGGTTTCTGTAGCAGCAGGTGGCGTCCACCACCAGGAATACAACCAGGAAGATCACCATGACAATGCTGAACACGGTGCCTTTTGTCATGCTGCTCACTTTGGATGGAAGGAGAGAGAGCAAATTCAATCTGAGAACTCATTTTGCCATCACCCCCAGGTTAGCTTTAGGCTACATTTCCTGGTTAACAGGCATGGATGGAACCAAAACAAGCTGGCCACCCCATGGCTTTCAGCTACAAAATGTCACTCAAAGAGATACGTCACAAGGAAGAGACACTATTTTTATTTTTTATTTAACCTTTATTTTACCAGATAAAAACATTGAGATAAAATCTCATTTTTAATGCTGACCTGGCCAAGAAGGCAGCAACGTTACACATAACACATAACACAAACATATAAAATACAGAGAACATAACTAAGAAAACAAAAGACGAAAAAGCAGTCACTACATTGTGCACATTAGGACAGTAAGAAAAGTACACTACTTGTTACTGCAAGAGCAGCTGGTGGTGAGGACTTCAGACAACTTCAATTTAAAACATGATATAGAAACAAGTGCCCTCAGTTTAAGGCGTGATTGAAGGTCATTCCAAGACCAAGGACCACAATAAGAAAGACTCCTTTTTCCAGCCTCAGTCCGTACACTAAAGAGCATGAGGAACATAAAACAACTGCAAAAGGTCAACTAACACCTAATATTACTACAAAGAGACACATAAACACCAACAATAGACTCAAAATGTGACCAAGAGACTCAAAATTACTTCAAAGATACTCAAAACTAATAAAGAGAAGCACAACAACTTCCAAAAAACTCAAATTGATTTAAAAAAAAAAAAAGATAATCAAACAGCTACAAAGTGACACACACAAGGCATGTTTTGCTTCTATGTAAGAGAAGGCATTTACATGTCTGGGCCTAGGGGCCTATGTCTAATAATCTGCCCATGCTAACAGTCTAAAGTGTATAATGTTCGATTGGCTGCCACCTACCAGGCTGTTCTGCAATAGTAAAGTTGAACAGGGCAGGGAGAGAGGAACCGTTAGCGTTGACCGCTGTGACTTCCAGCTCATAGTCTGAGCCGTAGGACAGGTCTTGCAGGGTGACGGAGTCAGCACCAGGCAGCAGCTGCTTCTCCTTCCACTCCGTATCCTCTTTATCCTGAGAGAGCATTACAGAGTGTTAAGGAGAGGATAGAAGGATAAGTAAGGAAAAAAGAAGATAAATTAACTTAACTTAAATCGTCTCTTACCTTTCTGTATCGTAGGTCAAAGTGCAGCAGAGGAGTTCCACCATCATCAATCTGTTTAAAAGGCACAGAGAAGGTGTTTCCCTCCACTTTCATCTCATCGGACGACAAAACAGGACGGTCTGGTTCACCTACGGAGAGGAGGGAGAGAGAAAATAAAGAATTAATGACCAAATGATGACCGGCCATGAATTATTATTAAAAGATACAACTTATTAATATGATTATTATATTTTATGGTTTAGTAGATCACAGTGTACTTTACCTTCTGAGGATGGACAACAGTGGATTACAGGAGCATGAGCAGACGATGATGTCATGGAAATGTTATTGTGAAGGTAGCATGGAAGATGAACATAACAAATTAGTGATGGTAGAGGAGGAATAAAGTATTTCTTGAGAGACAAATACAGTTATGCAATTACACATACTTTACAATTGTTGTACAATGTTGAACTTGTAAGTGTGTAAGTTTATTTCAGCTCCCCTAGATACATTTCCTCTCTGAGGTTCAAGGCTCAAAGAGGAAACAAAGAACAAGTACTTTTATTTTTAAATTTGAATAACATTCTACTAATAATACTTGTGCACTTTTAGTTGGTAAGACTTGGAATGCAATACTTTATGTACTTTTGTGATTACTAATATGTGTTGTGTTGTTGGTGTGTGTTTCACTTACGTGTTCCCTGTGTGTGCACAGTGTTTGTGTCTGAGAACTGTCCCACTCCCACAGCATTCAAGGCAGCCAGACGCACTGTGTACAGTGTGTACGGCTGGAGGGTGCTGATAGCTAGGCGATCTACGGAAGAAACCACAGCAACTACATCAGCTAACATACATTATAACATTTCATATTGGCATTAATGGCAGAATAAAGTCCATGTTAGTGTAAGCAGTTCAAAGTATAAATTATTCAGATTTTTTCTGACATGACTGCAACGCCTGGAACTGGTTATCTGAAGCTGGCACTGTGACTTCCTTCCACTGTTCAGCTGCACTTTGCCTCCACTGCAGGACGAAGCTAGTGATGGGTGTTCCTCCACTGACGAGGGGACTTTTGAGGGAGAAGAGGACTGAGGTGGGTCCAGGTGAGACTGACTGGTAGTGAGGAGGACCGGGCTGGGCTGTGAGTCAGGAGGCAGGAAGGAGGTGAGTCAGATGGATGCTTATAAGTAGAGATTCAACTTGCTTTTCCTTCATTCTATATATTGAGAACATAAACTCTTACTGTATATTGCAACGTCTCTCGATGCGTTTCCCGAGTTGCTGACAGCCATGCAGGAATACAGTCCACCATCAGAGGGCACCACCTCATCAATCACCAACGCACCATCTTCAACACGGACACGACCAGAGCCAGAGTCCTGCCGGAGGGAGGCACACAGGGAAATATGCAATCAGATATTCTTTTGTGTTTTGTGATAGTGTATCGCTTTTCAACAATTATTTACATGCAAAGAATTGTAATAAACAGTGGCTGAGTTTGTATTATAAGTAGTGCTATGATGTTAGATGTTAGATGTTAGATGGAGAGTGCGGGGGTTTGTATATTGCATTGCTTACAGTATCGGAATACGGAATCACAACCCCTGTATTATGATACTGTTTGTTGTATCGACAGATTCCTCAGATCTTACCAGTGTGCGTCCATTTTGCTTGTTGAGCCAATGCAGCTCAGGCTGAGGATGACCGGAGACGTTACAGGACACAGACACAAGCTCGCCCACTGACACACTCTGCTGCTCTGCTGACACAAACACCTCTGGGGCCTCTGAAATAAAACATCAAGTGTCATTATAGTATATAAACATGTCATCATGGGTTAAATGCAGCATGTCTAACGGCCCCTACACACGGTGGCGTGCGTTGAAGCTTCAACACTTCTGCCCATTCACTTTGAATGGGGTGACGTCACGCTTTGCCGAACTGCATTGTGGGAGCAAAGCGAGCAATGTTCTACATTTGAAGCTTCGACGGAAGCGTCAGCCAATCGAATCATATGTCAGTACAAGCTCCAACCAATCAAACCGCGTGCTTGTGTGTCCGGGGCGGGAGATTCATGTGATTGGTTGTTGGTCGAGCTTCAGACAAGCCCGCCGGCATGAAGCTTCAACGCACGCCGCCGTGTGGACGCTGCGTAATGGTTCATATATTCACTTTTGGGTTATGCTGTTGTTGTGTTTCAGGGACCTGCTGAACGGGGAAGAAAAAGATTGATTGCACTTGAACTGACCATAAACATGAAGCATGATGGTAGCGGTGCTCTCAGCGATCTTGTTGGTGGCGGTGCAGATGTACTCTCCGTAGTCGCCCCTGGCAACAGACTTGATAGTCAACTGGCTACGGTCCGAGTTAAACTGATGATGTGAGGGGTCAAAGGTCACCGGCCTGTGAGGAGGAGATGCAGAGCTCAATACAAACTTACTATTGCTGTTATTCATATGGATTCAAAGGATATGCTTAGAGAAAGACAGAGGAGGAGAGAGAAACACACACACACACACACACACACACACACACACACACACACACACACACACACACACACACACACACACACACACACACACACACACACACACACACACACACACACACACACACACACACACACACACTAAAAGACATAATGACACAGATGTACTGCTGATTGTAGATTGTCCGAAGCCAAGTTGTAATCATGGAAAGACACTACCATTTCATACAATGGTCAAAATCAAGTTCTTCTCCCAGACAAGTGGACATAAAACATCAAAAAACCACATCTACGTGTTTATTTTATTACACTTTGTCTGTTTGCATCTGTTGATTTCTCTTTACTTCCTCCAGTGTAATAATTAAATAATGTCTCACTTATAGTAATTTAATAAACTTGCAATACAACAACAAAAAAATGATAATATAATATATAAATACAATATTTTCCCCTTTTCACCTGAAGGGTCTGCCCTTTAAAACTAATCCAAAATGTATAAAAAACATGTTATTCAACTGAAGTCGAGTAAAGTGATGCACTACAATTTGAATGCTTGCTGAAAATGAGCATTTACTGTGAGTCGTGAAACTTGAGGTCACTTTAAGTCATTTCACATCATCAACATATGCACACAATATGCCTTTTTATGGTGACACTAAAAATATGTCTCCATGTCAGGACTCACATGTTCCAGGTGATGTTGGGTTTTGGTAGACCGTCCACCAAACACAGCAGGGAAACGTTGGTCTCTGGTCCGGCCAGAACCTTTTTCACCTCTTCTCTCAGACGCACAGAAGGAGGAGCTGCAGAAGGGAAATTATAGAACGTTTTGATCATTTACAGTTCTAATCCTGGCATCCTTGTATCTAAATATGACTACATGCGCCTGTGCCTAACAAACTGAGCATCCGAGGATTTGCTATTTGTATCATAATTTATCTTTCAAAGCTCTTGATCCTTGTGAGTGAAAGATACCCACCATTGACGACAACAGAGACAGAGAGTTGCCTAAAGACGGGCCTTCCTCTGATCTGGGCCTGGCACACATACGTCCCAGCATCCTCCCTCTTCACTTTTTCAATCAGGACTGTGTTGTCAGGCAGCCGACGCACATGCTTTCCTCCTGTAGCGAGAGACAAGAACACAGAAAGAAAAGTTATATTTAAAGTCCAATATTCAGCAATGCTGTTTTAGTTTCCCAGTTTTATTTTCGCCAATTAATTTGTTTACAGTATACAAGCTTAGCAAGTTGAGAAAATGTGGAAATATTTTGGAAGGATCCTACCATTCGAGGAGATTTCCTCTCCGTCTCTGAGCCAGTGCACATCCACGGCTGGCTGGCCCATCACCAGGCATGGCACAATGCCGTCTGTGCCCTCCAGAAATTCATGGTAGGCGTTTGTGCTTCCAAATGATGGACCCTCTAAGAAAAAAGTAGAAGGTAAGGATGCTTACTTTCTGCAGTAAAGCGAAAAAATGAGTTTGTTATGAAATCACTATTACCCATTTCTAGACAGGTTCATCAAGTGCTGATTTGTACTTACCATAAACATACAGCTGTGTAAAAACTCTATCTTGATTTCCACTGTCAAAGTCACACACACAGCTATATCTGCCCACATCCTGCATCGTTGCATTCTTAATGTGCAGTTTAGAGGAAGTCTCATCCTGCTTTGTCACCTTCTCTTCATCAACAATTTCTTCCTCATCCTTGAGCCACGTTATTTCTCCCTCGGCCCCAGCTTCAGGACGGAAAGAAGGAAAAGACAGAGTGAATATAAATGCTTAATTTCATCTAGATGATCTAGATTGATTTGTGATCACATGAAAATAAAAAGGCTCACCTTTACAAAGCAGTAAGATCTCTTCTCCCAACAGAACATCTTGCTTACTCGTGATGATGTCCATCTTTGCATCTAGAGGAGAAGAAATACTTTGCACCTGTTTCTGCTCTTTCCAAAAGGCATTTATAAATCAATATGTGATCCTGTTTCTTGTTCTATGGGAGACTTTCAATTAAGTTAATGATTTATGATCCACATACTTAAGTTCTATATTGAATAGTTGTGGCAAAAAATATTATAACACAATATTACATTTTAAGTTACATAGAGCAGTAAAATAGATGTCACTTTTAAATGTAGAAAACGTTTTTTCTAACTGTTTTAACAGGCAGGATCCAACTGAAACATGCTTTTTAGTTGTATACTGTATACAGACAAAAAATAAATAGGAAAATAAATATATTGATTATTGCCTAAAGTATTTCCTCATTACACTATACAGTACAACACATACCTTGCTCAAAATAACATATTTCAGCCATGCAGTGTGTATTAAACCGTATATCTTTACAAAACCTTGAGTTATTTAAAAATCTTACCTGTGCAGTGCAGCAGAGGCAGCAGCAGAAAGGCCATCTTTAGGATGAGAGCTGATAGGTCCGTCATGTTCACCTGGCTACTGTTTGACAATCCTGTACGACTTCAAATCACAACTCTGAAGTTTGTCTGTTTTGGTTTTTGTGTCAACACAGCTGGAGAGAAAAACTAATATAGTTTATAAATAACAAATATCTCTAACTCTGTATCAGGCTGACTTACAGACACCTGCTGTTTTCCTATCCACCAAACATGCTGTAAGTATGATGGGGAGAGGGTCTGTGTCAGGGGTTATATAGGGGCACAAAAGCAGTGGAGATGAGAGGAAATGAGTGAGGGGTGGGGGCCAGAGAAAGAGAGAGAGAGAATGCATTGCTCTCTCATCCTTCTTTAGCCCCAACAGAGATACTCTGTGGCTGGATGACGTCCATCCCACATTTTATCTGTTCTACTTCTCTCTCTTCCTTGACACACATTATGTTTAATTTCTCTCTCTCTCCCTCCAGGCTACCGGATGAAAGCCCGGGGAGGCAGCCCGCCCCAGGGGAGTAAGAGATGGAGAAAGATATTTTTATCACTGCATCGTTTTTTCCTCTCTGGTTCAGATCCACGCAAACAGCCTGCAACCACAGTCTGCCAAATTCAGCCCCATCATTCACATTTCCTGAGAACGTACATCCTTTAGGATGCTGAAATCAGCGCACCTCAGTCACACCCATTCTCCTACAAAGAAAACGTTTTCTGTACGAAGAAAAACAGCCAATACTCGGTGATTGCAAGAAAAACTATATTTGAAGGTGTTGATTGTCAACTAAGTTTAGTACGTTTAATCATATATTTCAAACGTTTGTATAAAGTCACATCAAAGTAGACTTTGAAGTAAATCTTTGATTAAATTCAGTCACATGAACAAATATACCCAAGGCTTTTGAATAAGCACAACAGGCCTTCTCATACTAGGCCTTTCAGCATGTCATTGCGCAGAAAGCTCAGGTGTTATTTTAAACAGAAAAACAAATATCTGCTGTATTTAACTGGCAGTTTTTCTATTTGAGCATGCATGTGTACAGCTGACATATTGACACCAACACCTGTGTTTCCTATTATGTAAAGTAAACACGTCTGCTATGAAATAAAGCATCTACGTGATTGAGTTTCCCCAAACTAAAGAAATCTAAGTCAACTGTAGTGGCAATTTCTTATATTACTTTATATGGTAAAACCAAATGCAACGCTTATATGATGAAAACTGTATTCAGTACATGTCTCTTTGTTCGACTTGTTGTTCACCCAGATGCTTCCTGCCAAGGTCACATTTGAACAGTACAGTTATTGTTCCTCAAAATAACATTGCAAGATAACAGTCAGCAGAAAGTGTTATCTCTCTTTGTCTGCACAGCAACAGTCCTCTATAAATCACACATACACATTTACCTCAATTTTGCAAGTAGATAAAAGCTTTATGAAATGTAATCTACTTTCTTTAAACTGAAAATAGGCCTTTTGACGTCGTGAAAGTACAGGTATTATAACCATTAACACTGGCGCAGTTCTATTAAAGTGTCCCATTAAGTCCTGATAATGGGACAAGTCAGTGTGAAAAATACCTGAAGTCTGAAACTGAAGCATGCTAAATGGAATTCAGCCGCAATTAATTGTGTTATTTAAACTTATACTGCCAGTCATACCAAGTTTTTATAGAATTTTCTGGAACTGAATACAATCAACCTGTGTTCTTTTGAGTTCGACTGTCCCTGACCAGTGGTGTTTGTATTACTGTGCTTAACAAATGGACGGATCTAGATTCACATTCTGAGTCTCAGATAGGGTTCACAGAGACGAGCCTGTAAACCTGGGTTAACCTTCACTTGTGCCAAGACTTCTGCAGATTTTACATTGCCCATCACTTCTATTGGCCAAGAGCAGCCTTTCCCTCCCACCTTCGCCTTGATAGCCTATCAGCAATTGAAACGAGAGTCGAGAGATTGAAAATAATCCAGAGCGGCCATTTTATCAGAAGTCGCTATTATGGCTCATTACAACGGAGTGTGCTCATAATGATGGCTGAAAACGAGGGCCATTAACAAGGGCGGGCACTCTGAGCGCTGCCCTACATCACATTCTTTAGAGTGACTTTTTTTCTCTTGGTAACTGTGGTAATAATGGAACAAAACTCATGTTTATAATTGATGTTGTCGACATTGTGTAAGTGCATGCCCAAGGCTCACTCACAACAAATGTATACTCTCATCTATTCATAAAGTAACACAGAGACAAGACTTACAGTACAGCTCACAGAGACTTTTCTACAAAGTGACAAAATGACTTGAATGACCAATACTTTGGTCAATTAAATTAGTGTCGAACAGGCTTTAAAAATTGAAAAAAAAACGCATTGATTCATTTTTAACTGTGAATGTTTTAGAAAAACTCTTATGTTGCTATGTTAACACATACATATGAAATGCTGTTTAAGTGGTCTCAGCATAGGGACTCAGGGACTTGTTTACTCTGTCTGTATTCAACTCTTTCAACAAATACACAGACAAAACACAAATACATATGTTGTTGAAATATAATACATTATATAACACATTTTTGTATCTTTGTATCGATATAATGAATACTAAAACAAAGTAACAAGGATGTGACAGCTGAAGAAGTGAAGAGGAGACAGGCAGGAAGTAGAGAGAGACAGACGGACTCTCGTGACAACAGAGAATCCTCCCTCATTCCCCCCTTTGTGAACATAATACAGACCGTGTGTGTGTGTAGGTCCTCAGGAATCCTAGCTATGTGGATAAAATTGACTCATTAGTTTATTTAGTCAGTGCTGTCTAAAGTTCACATATGATAGTATTTCCTCACTGTTATTGTCAAAACATTTGTCCCCTTTTGGAATTTATAAAAATCACACAATTTCATCTGCAAAATCTGCATACATCAAACTTTAACAGAATTCTGACTAGTGGTGTTTGTGTGCATTATGCAGAAAATACTATTGCCAAAATTCAAATATTCCTTAAGCTTTACTCCTATTTATAAAAAACGTATACACCTACAGCTGACAGGACAAGAGATATCAAAGTCAATATCAAAGTTAAAAACTTAAAGGTAGGGTAGGTAAGTTTGAGAAACCGGCTCGAGATCGCTAGAATTTGAAAATACACAACCGGAGAAAATCTGCCACTTCCTTATAGAGCCCCTCCTCCAACACACACGAACGCGCACATGACCAATGAGGGCACGAGATAAGTTTGTGCACAGATGGAAGGCTGACAGGCAGGTAGGCCATCCAGTTATTTTAGCCGGGCCGGCTAAAATGATTGGTCGTACTTTTTACAGTATTACGGCTTCCACAGATGACATTTTTTTATGGATTTTTTTGTCAAAGCACTTAAGATATTCATTGCTATCGGGATGTTAAGAGCATTCCATGGAATATAACAAAAAGTGTATCTCAAGCCGGTTTCTCAAACTTAATAAATCAGAATTTAGAGCAAACAGGCCAAGCCTCCCAAAACAGTGCCGACTTTTCATCCCTCTATAGTATTACTGTGACATCAAGATTCAGGAAGTATACTCAGTGTACACCAAGCGGCAAACTCTGGGGAAGAACCGGGACGCCAATGCGGAAGTGCCACAAACTGCAGTTCATATATTGGCCGATAGGCGCTGACTGCAGAAAGGAGCAATTTCCATAGAGCCCCATGTTAAAATGCCCAATTTCACAGCCTAATAAAACATGTTTCTACCTATGGATCCAATAAATATTATTATGAATATAGTTAGATTCCACCTTCATGATTATGGATCTGTGAGTGAATTGTTTTCTAACACGACCCTTTTATTTATATTAGGTCTTAAAGTTGTTGCATAAATTAGGGCGTGGTCACATTGAGTGACAGCTCTGTCAAGTGACTGCTGCTGTTAGCTTCTTGTCTCTCTGCTAGCTGCTCCGTCCGTGAAGCTACAGGGACTCTGCCTGGTCAGTTCATCCAGGGAACACAACTTGATCCCGGCCGTGTTTGTTTGTTCTTCATGCTTATATATCGGACTATTGTGACTCGCTCTGCGGTTAAAACAGACGGTGCATGAATGCCGTTTTGCGGTAAGTGAAATTCGAGTACTTTATTTATGTGTTTATGATTTTAATCAGCTACGTAATGAATGTTAAGGCTTGCGTTAGCGTGTAAGCGAGTGGTAGCTACATCGGTGCTAACGATGCTAATCGTATCCTCCAAGTTAACTTAAAACCATAGACTGTATATATAAAGGTTAAAATGAAATAGACAAGTGTTGAGCGTTAAGTGAGATAGTACTGTAGAACAAAAGGCTTCTGTTTGAGGTTGATAAAATAAGGTCATCCTTGTAACTTAGAGAGATATTTTATTATGTAGGTAGGAACTGTATGCATCGCTAAGGTTAATTTAAATTGGCTGTGCTCAAGTATGTAGACAAGCTAACGTCGAAGTAGTGTATGTGAAATCAACCTCACAATAAGATGTGTGTATATTACAATTATTAATGTCATATTTCAAGATGATTACTTAGATATTACAATATGGTTGGTTGAGCTGGAGTTCATTATTGAGCTTACACGTTAACGTCACAGTCATCTGAAGAACGAACCCAAACGTTGTTGTTTTTATTAATTGCATTACCAAATTGGTATCAAATAAACAGTAAGCATTGGTAACACAACTTCCAAAGTTACAGTAAAATAAAAAGGAACCTGACTCGGACAATACACAATCCAACATGTTCAACAGAAGAGAATAAGTTATATTGTTTGTACACATGGTTCTTTACATATATATCTGTTTGTTTAAAGTTTCCAGGTGATGCAGACAGGCTGGACCAGAGACTGAGAGACAGAACTGGACTCCTCACAGCAGTGAACTTCAGCACAGGTACAAATACTCTTTTTTCATACTGTACAAAGAATCAAGAAAGATATTGGTTTAAATAAATGAAGTATTGACTTTAATACACTGATATACATTCCATTAAACAATACTAAATACTAGATCACCTACACATCAGTGAAGTTGAGGGGTCTTTCCATGCAAAGGGTTACATGTTAACAAGTTAACTAATTTAAGGTATTGAAGGCAAAGCTATTAGTGACAACTGCTATTTATCTCTCAATATTGTCTGTAAAAAACGTGGTAAAAGTTATGATTTCAGTGAGAGAACAGAGCAAGCTTCTACAGTTGCACTAAGTTTTGATAACAGTTAAATATTATTTTGATAATAAAATATATTTCAATGTTG